AAAAAGTAAACAGGAACTGGTGGACTCATTCAAGTCGTGTCTCATTTTAAAGAGCGCTGAGTCAATCAGGTTTGCGTCTACTTTGTTTTGAAACTTTCAATTTACAGCTTGCCGAAAGAGTCGGGATTTGTATTGATAATTTATGTTTGCATTTGGCAATAGGGGATTCAGTCGGTTACTCACGGTCTCGAAGCTAACCGACCGTGTCGCCCAAACGGACTGTTATCAAGGAAATCTAACACCTGCATCGAGTTTTTTGAGACACAATTTTTTGCAAGGCGACCTTGAACTCACTTTTGCAAAGAAGGAAGTCTGCTTGTAAAACTCTCGCCCTAAAAGAAGAAGAGAGAGAAGCGCTGAAAGAATCGAGCGACTCCTACGAACAATGAATGACAGTAGCGGAGTCTCTTTCTAATTTTAACATCTTTTCTTTTTTTAATTTATTTTTACTTTAATTTTAATTGGCGTAAAAAAGAGAAGGAAAAAGGTGACGGAGGAAAATTTTCTCTCCACATAATTCTAATTATATGCATACCCTCCTGAGGAACAGTAATTATTGGGTAACTCTATCAAATTTATCTCAATAATGGTACTCAAAACACGAAAAAACGCCAAACTCTGCCTGTCACAGTAATCTGACACAGACTACGTTAAAATGCTAATTAGCACTAGTGGTCAGGTCTGAGAAATGTGTCTACATTTCACGGACTTGCCTTCATTTTGCAAGGTAGACCAAATAATAACATCTTGCGTCCCTTATTTTCACTGTGTCATCATATTTTACAATACTTTCCAAGCAATAAAGTGTGTCCTATCATCAGAAACTGATCTGATGCTGATGATTGTGATGTTTACTCAGTTTATTCGATGGGTTCATCAGATCTCTGTCAATTAATCACTGTAAGTAGAAATGCTGGACCTCAAACTTTAAGGATGCAGTATTTTGTTTCTTTATTGCTTGATATTGATATTCAAATGGGCTCTGATCATTAACATTAACTCTAAATCACCGTTTTCTCTCAAAAGTTCGGATATTTTCCGGCGATACTAGCAGTGACTTTGTTTGAGCCACTCCTTTGAGAACTTGGACCTGCAAATGCCGGATTGATCAACCCATTCGAAGCTTCACCTTAAGTCCCACTCATCCTGACACCGATAAGTTGATCACTGAGTGCCAACTAATCAAACATTGGTAATTACATTGAGATGTGAGAGACCGTAAGCTTTCGATGCTAATTAATTTTATTGCTGTCTTGAGCGGCTCAAGGTCCGTTTGCTATGTGCTAACTCCTTCTCTCCGCTAAGCGGTCAGTAAATTTTGAATGATCGCCCAGGAGAGCCGCGTACGATACGGCTTTGCGGCAGTTTCCGCCTTGGATTTCTCTCCCTACACATTGCTGCCGTGCTTCTGAGGTCCGCTGTCGATGATTTGTCCGTTTACGAAGGGACAGGATCAGTGGCGTGGCGTGCTTTGCGATATATTGAATGATCTGCCATTTAAACCTATGGAAAAGTATCGATAAACAGGGTGTTCGCAGCGAACACCTTAATAATCGATTAGGTATTTACCGCAGCTCCTAATGGAGGAATATCGAAAATCGATCATTCACGCCACGCCACTGGACAGGATTAAATAATTTACACATAATTATGAATTTGGGTTTCCTGTGGCACAGTAAAAGTCACCCAAGCTCATAGGCGGATTCAGACACTTCGAAAGGAGGGGAAGCGTAAGGGGGAGGGAGCTGAAAATTTTTAAAATTTTAAAGCATCTTCACTCCATGAATAACAAGCAAATCTGAGCATCCTTCCTCCTTTTTTCTTTTTTCTCTTTTTCTTCCTCCTTTTTTCGGGAGAACGGGGGGGGGGAGGGCGTACGCCCCCTTTTCCCCCTTGGATCCGCCGATGCAGGATATTTATATGGGAACGTGTTGTTTCTAAAATCGAACATGTGATTTTTTAGATAAGCCCCAAAACGCTATTATTTTGGGGTAGCTGAGGTTCATTTAAAAATGGACACGTTCTTTTTTTGGAAAGGACTTATTCTTTTGGGTATTCGATCGATTTCCGCACATGCACACATTAAATTGTATATTCGTTTTAATAAAGTTTAATGTGCAAGCTTCTGAAGTAACATGCCTTCATATTGCGATATATTGATAGAAAAGGGAAACATATCGAGAGATTTGCCGAAATAAAAATGCGGTCTCCATTAATTTTCCTTTTAACTCGCGGAGCCATCGAAGAAAAAGGTTATGGAAATCAATTGAAATCCAATGCATGATTTTTTCGTGTAAACCAAAGGTTGTCCAGATAGTGACTAGATTAGTGTATGCAATCAAAAGACCTTCGGCTCTCATTCCTCCAATGAAAATGTTTTGCCATCAAAGTTCATTTCGAGACAATCGAGAAATCATAGACAAACTTTGTGGAAAATAATGGGTATAAGACAAAGAGAAGGCAACGTTTTAATCGAGGCAGCTTTTTTTGCGGAAGCTTTTGTCCGGAGAAGTGGTTGTAGCACAAGCTACATCGCTTATGGTCACCGCACGCATGCCGGCCGCGCCGGCAGTCACCACTGATGTCAGGTGATGATGAGAATCCAGCACGTTTCTTCGTTTAACTCATCGTAAAATATCCACGTTTTTTCACTATCTAGCAACTTTGTGTCGCACCCAGGGCAATTCCCGCTACACGTTGAACTCAGCACAAGCAATGGATTGCCTCGGGGTTTTGTTAAGGCATCACTATGCCAAGTCGAAAGGAGGCCTTCAGAATGTAACATGGATTACTTATTTTCACAAGTTGACCACGAATTGATCAAGATAAGGTACAAATAAAACGATACCTTGCAATAAATTGATTCAAATATATAAAATGAGAAATTAAACTTCAGATAACGATTATGAATAATGGAGGGGATCTTCAGGAAAAAGAATTAAAGGGAGCGTTAATGGCGCGGAGTCATCGCCTTCAAACTATAAATGGTACGTGTACATATCACTTTTGAACCCTATTTTCCCGTATCTTACTCTATGATACCTATATAAAATCGTAAGAGTATAACGCGTAACGCATAACGCCTGAGACGCGAAGAGTTACGGAGATGGACAGTGAGGCAGTCAGGTGGCGTAACCCCTATTATATTTAAAATTTTACAAATCTTATGGTGAATCTACATTGGAAGTAAACAAAAATCGAGATATCCAAAAATTTTTACTAAGTTGCTGGATTCACCCTAAGCTGTTGCCAAAACACGGGCCCATTACGATTAAAATGCATATAAAAAATTCGATATGAAACCAGTATTTCAGCAAAATTTGTTCGATATCAGTGTTTGCTTACTTCTACTAAACATTTGCCTTGAGAAATTGCCATAATACTTCTAAAAGCACGTGGTTCTTTTTCCACTCCTTGAGATCCAATGTAGAGAGGAGGAATATTTTGCGTCCAGACACGAGACAAACTCGTAAAATTGCGAGGATCGTTTTCCTCAAATTATCCGTTTTAGCAGATGCACGAGAAAAAAACAATCGAAATGCATATGTAACGGCGAAACGATGATAGCTTCCCTCATGTGAGAGCCTGCGTTGCATAAGTAATTGGGTAAGTGTATTCAATGACACGTTTGTGTCCCACGATCATAAGAATAAGACCAAGTGGAATCGCGCGCGAATGTATGGGGTGGAGCGCTTTCTTAATTTTTTATGTAACTTGACAATCGACTTGTAATCGAGACTTTTTTTCGTAAGACTTGATGAATTTGTCGCCCGGACTCCAAACATGATCTCCAAAATTTATTATGTAAAAAGTAAAAAGTAAGTAAAGGGGAAAAAAGCAAACGTAAGATAGGCGGTTTCGGTGATAATGGATAAATCCATTATTTAATTCCATATCATATGTATTGTTAAAGAGATGTGCCTTTATGGTCTTAGTGCCTAGCGCAAAAAGCCCCTGACAAAGTAGGACATATCATGTATACATTCTTACAAGGAAACTCAATGAGGTATAGAGAAGTCAGATGACCACATTTTCTTTTCTTCAATGGTCCCCTAAAATTATAAACAGTTGGACAATCTTAGCAACACATAATTAAGTCTCGAAATACCACTCTCTGAACGCTAAAAGTTTGTCTGTGGATATACAAATAACGTATCCTGATATTTACGGTCATTCTAAAAAAATTGTATATTAGTTTTCCCGGAAGAAACCAAGTATTGCTATATTTTAAAAATTATTTTCATACATAAAAAAGAACCGTGGCAGCATAATTATTGGCAACACTGCAAATAGAAGAGGTTGCTTCAAAGTTACGTTGTCGCTTTCCGCATTCATTGTCAGACTGAAGGAATCTTTTGGCAGAGAATCAATGAACGGTGAATAAAAATGATTGCAAATGGGGTTATACGCATATCATATAATTATCATTATTTGGGAATCATACAGAGTGCTGAGAAATTCTCACTTATGACTAGAAGTGGTGCATTCTTAATTTTCTCGAGTATAAGCTATGAAAAATTAGTAAGCACAGTAGTAAATATTTTGGGTTTTCGTGACTAAGAAATTATGATTACGCGCATGAGCCAATTACAAGTTTTCATTGGATGGATGCACGTTCTAGATTTCATAAAAAAGAATTAAAGAATAAAAAATACGCCGTGTTCCGTAAAGAAAACTTAACTAGAAATAGCACTAGTGACCCACATGTCCTCCAGGGTTTTTCTGTGATGACAACGTGACCATAAAAAGGGTACTCACATTTGGAGCAGCTCTGAAGTATAAAACTTCGAGAGCCTCTTAAAAAGACAATCCTCATAGTATTGTCGGCAGATGTATCGTTAATCAAAGTGGCATCTGGGTGAGCGAGTACTCAATACGTACCTCAAGTCACATGGGCACTCATGTGGGAAACTATCAAGCATGCGAAAAAACCATTTTCAGCGTGGTAGAGGTATGATATATTCTTACTCTAAAATGGACCGTGACAAATTAGAACTTACCAGTTTATACAACTGTAACGAATGACTTAGCAGGCAGGTCATGGGCCGGCAAACTCGAGCGTGACGGGGAATACGGCTTCGAAGTGCAGAAACCCAGAACTTGACGAGGATATCAATTTAAAGGTGCTAAAAGTCAGCAAATCACTATAGTCCAGAAAATCTGAAGCGTGGAACTGCAAGGATAGTTCGTGGTGCACTAAACACAGAGAGGAATCACGACACAGTAGCACTGATGAAGAGTCAAGACAAGACTGACAGACCGGCGAGGATGAACCAACGACGACGTAGCGCTTGGCATGTGAACACTCACTGACAGGTACTGATACCGCTCGCGCTGATAACTCCGACTTGTTTATTGTTACTTAAACGGGTGTAATCACTGGGTACTGGACGAGAGCCGCGACCATAGCCGGCTCCAAAGCACCCGGCATCCCTCCCCCCGCTTTCCTGCTCGTCAGTTGCCAGTTCGCGTAACACGTGAGATCTTATGCAAGGATCCGCGTTTAGATAAGCGCCGTGCAAAAACGCGCAAAAATCAGGAAAAAAACGGGACTCGAAGAAGGTCAGAATCGGAATAGCAAAGTCGAGATCGACTCTTTGGATCAGGGAGGAGGGGGGGGGGCGGGAAAATAATAGATCGGATTGAGAGGTTTATTTTTAAAGAGGCCTGAAAGTACAGGTCTAATTGAAAGTCGTGATGGATGATAATATCGTGGCTCAACAGCGATAGACGTCTGTATTTTTAAATATAAATTGATAAAGCGTTAGTATTTTGTATACTGATGTGCGGTTTGAGGAATAATATTTTGGAGATATTCTCCATTAACAGGTTCTTGTCGAAAATGAGAAAAAAACGGGAGTTTGAAGAGGTCAGAATCGGATTAGCAAAGTCGAGATCGACTCTTTGGAGGGGCGGGAAAATAATAGATCGTATTGAGAGGTTTATTTTTAAAGAGGCCGAAAACTACAGGTCTGACTGATAAACGTGATAGATGAGAATATCATGGCTCAAAAGCGCTAGACGTCTGTATTTTTAAAATTAAATTGATAAATCGTGAGTATTTTCTGATGTGCAATTTGAGGAATAATATTTTGGAGGTCCTCCGTTAACAGCTTCTTCTAGTTTAACGTTACCTCATAAGGTCACCAATATTTTTGCCTAATGAGCGATAACAGATGTTTTGAGGAGTTTAAGTATTGCGTAATATGCTTTTCTATTTTTTTGGCGCCATCTCTCTTGTAATACATTTTTCACACAAGCAAGATATTAATTATCCTTTGTGTAAAATGCTACAATCCTTTTTCCAGCTCTACCTCTGTACAGATAAAAATGTGCCCAAAAAATATTTTCCCCCTCCGAGAATTAATTTCTTAAATTTCGAATGCGGCAAAACCCAAACTTAAGTCTCCTCATCTCCCCCCCCCATCCACCCGCAACGGATTACTAGGCCATAAATCATACTTCATAACACGCCATATTCAGATGTTCCACTTGTATGTTCCCTGAAAAAATTGATCAGGTAAAGCAGCCGAACAGACATAAGTTCGCCAATTTACAAGCCGCCTGACATAACTCAGACTCAAACTCACTTTATTTCTAGGCTGAAGTTAGACCAGCCGACGATGATGAAGTTGCGTAATGTGTAAATATAGATTAAGAAGGGTGGTGTCAATTATTTTGCATCTGCATTGATTCAGATTTTCTGCAAAAACTAGGTTTGAACACGTTAGAGAGTCCGCCGTGTATGTAAGCTCAGTACGTGCATACAACTATTCGAACACGTGAGAGGGTTTTTGGCCTATTCGATAAATTGAAGGCGAATCTAAGTCCGTGACCCCGTTCTCGGAGTATATCGTCTCCTTCCTGACGAAAAAGGGCGTAACTCTATTCCCGCGTGAGCCCTGTTTTACTCATAAGGCCATGCTTTCTGGGGCTCATGTTGGAATCTAGATTTGCCTTCACGTCAAAGGAGTGACGATATGATAAGCTTCATTTTTATTTTGTACATTCAAATTAATAATCGAAAACGCCGATCATAATTGGACTTTAGAATCAATTCGGCTGAGATGAAATTAAGAAAAGAAATTATTAATGCTTGCTAATAGGCACATTTGCGCCCAAGGGAGATGCCTCAGGCAAAGATCATCAGATTTTATCAATTTAGAAAACTTGCTTTGCATCTCAACGTTTTCTCTCGAAATCACACAATTTTTGCGTGACAGATTCATTCCTCTCCGCATTTAGTGTGCATTTTAAATATAAAATATCATAACGTCTCCAAATTCCTCTGAATCTTTTTCGAATGATTTTGAATTTTCCATCATGTGAAATCCGTTTATATTTGGTATGCAGATTATACTTGACAACTCAACCATTATTGCAGGCAGAGGTCATTTCACCACAATGAATTTTAATTTCTTTCAAGGCTTGCTGTCTGCAAATCATAAACTTGTGGAAATTAATTTTCATTTGCAGGATTCCTCGTCGTTTTGCAAAAGTGAAGACTATGTCTCTGGATTTTTAATTCATTGCCTCACCTCAGAGTTATAGTGCGGTGCGTGCGATGAAAATATTTGAAAAACTCTTCCAGCCTTCTAAGTTGATTGGCTGATTTTTGTTTACCTAGTGACTCGACAGCAGAATGACATGACGTTGTTATGAAGTCCTAATTGACTCTTGGTTTGTCTGCGGTGTGGCCGTATTCGAGCCTGAAATGTGATGCTGCATTTTAATTTTGGGCTCAAGACTACGTCAGATGATCTATTTATCCAAAATTTTGTTTTCGAGTTAGTTCGCGAGAGACAGTAACCATCACAAATCTATCGCGGTTTGAGGCGGAATTAGATTAATCCTATAAAAATTAGATGCTCATTAAAATATGTTACGTGAATTTCTTTGAGATAATTTTGAGGAGCTCCAACAGTTAAACAGTATAAACTTTTAAACCCACTTTCCCTCTAATTTTTTCCCCCTTCTTTTGAGGAGGAAACAATGAGCGTATTTATGCTAGACGGGACTTGATGGAAATACAGAAATCAAACGAACGATAAATCCAGCTAGTTTTAAGCACATTATAGTTTCTGCTATTTTAACTGATTTGCACGTAGTTCCATTTAGCATAAATGCGGCCGACTGTAGTTTTTCTCACATACTTTTGACTTTTTATGCAAAGAGGCTGTTGCCAAATTTCATCAGATAAAATATTTATTTTTGAGGGAGGTTGTGAATATTCGAGAAATTTTTAAAAATTTCAGCTTCAATTACGCCTAAAAGTACTTGTAAAATTGCAAGGAAAAAGACGCAAGTTATTCTGAAATTTTGCAGTTCATACCGGACGATTTGGCATTGTCTATATGGGCACATGTTGCATCCTTCCTTATTTCGGGCGAGTAGCTCACATAGAGACCCATCTCAGGACATCTACGAACATACCAAAATGCGGTTTAATCGCAAAAGCCACGTTGAGCGAACACGCAAGAATATTCCGGGATTTAAAAGAAATTTTGATTGTGAAGGGGAAAAAAAGTTTTTCGTAAGAATTCTGTAAAAGAGATTATCTTACCTGATGTAAAAAATAGCGAAAATTAGGAATTTAAAATGTCTCCTTTTTAATTGTCATCCATTCGACATACCTGAACAGTCTACTGCGGATTTTGTACAATATTCCCATTCATTAACTGTGCTGCCCCTGTATACTGCTCAAAACATTTTTTTGCTCCAAAAGATCTAAATTTTACAGCGCAGAAGTAGCACAAAAGCAGTTCACCACCGTGTATTGCCAAATGTTATGTGCGGGTGATACGGCACTTTAAACGGCGTCATTTACCCGGGGACATTGATCTTAAAAGAGTCTCGCCTGTTGAGGCTGCGTGCTCATCAAAATTCAAGGCAAGGTCGCGGTGCAACCGTCAATATTTTCCATGATCTGCCTGTGTTATGATTGTTTTTACTGTCGTATTTTGAATTCTGATGCACCATCAGGTGCGGTCAGCGCTCACAATCGGCTAGACAACAAAACGCTCGAGTAAATAGAAACATCTCGGATCAAATTGTTCAATACCGGCTCGAATGCCGAACATTGACCGCCGTCCGTTTCGGATCAAAATAAATTAACGAGGTTTTCAACTTTTGGAGTTTGTTGTGGACTCAGTGACTAATCACTGAAAGGTCAAAAATTAGGCTGTCTAAAGGTGGAGCCGCTAGACGAAAGTGCGCGCGATGTCGCGATAGTGAAATCAGAGCCCCTCAATAATTCGACACCGCAACGCACAACACGTGATTTGCCGAGAGGCAATTAATTTCCTCCCAGTGTGATCAAAATAACGGTCTTACTGGGAAAACAAACATCGAATTGGGATGTTGCAATTTTTTCGTCAAAATAAACATTTCAACAGAAAAACGAATTGACCTTTTATGATTGTTCCATTCGCAATCAATCAAAAATGCCTATGTTGGTGAGTGAAACATGGTAACATGTTGACGCTCACATGGTATTAATTCGGAATCAACATGATCTCAACATCAACATTGCATCAACACGATGGGTATAAATAAAATTGAAGAGCCTATTCTTAGAAACTTGAAACAAATGATGAGCTCGGAGGACAAGGTGCGTAAGTGCAGTTTTGGCCATATTGAGAAACACATGTTTGAAGGATCTTTATGGCGAAAAGAAAGCTCAAACTGATTTTTTGTTGCTTAAAAATTGGAATTTGGAATCGACTTTTTCACAGAATATGCATTAAGACAAGTTTTACTTGAAATCATTAATATCTCAATTTTTTCAAAAACTGCACTTATGCGCCTTGTTCTCTAAGTTCCTTAAATATTATCAGTGAAAACAAATATAATCGGGAACTTTGGACGGTAGCAATCAAAATTTGAAAAAGGGAGTTATAAATTTAAAAAAAGCCACGTATTTTTTTTTTTTTTAAGTTGGTTTATACATTTTGTCTCCTTTATGGCACTCATCTCCTTCTTGAAAACGTTTATTTCGCCTAAGCAATGATTCAGTTCTGAAAGTTACCGTCAAAGGACGTTTGCTTTCTTCAATATGATTTTTCTAGCATGAGGATTGATGTGCCAGTTTGAAAGCACCGAGTCGAGGTAAAAGCTCATTAGAAATGAGTCTTGCCTTTGACGCATTTCGGTTTCCGAAACACACATTTCCACACATTAACAGACATCAGCGAGTGCAATTTCAAGTGAATTAAGCTTGTTGAAACAGGTTGTTCGATCTATTTTGAGTATTTACGTGCTTTAATCAAAGTATTAAAACTGCCCATTGGCGCGGCGTCCGGTTGATTGGAAGTTTTGGTTAAACTGACGACCTTTTTCCCTCCATTTC